TCTTCCTGGTTGTTGCCTTCTTCTTCCTCATGGTGGTGTTTGAGATGGCCGTTCACAGCTTCAGGACCAAGGAGAGAGATGTGTTTGCTTGTGATTTGGCGACCAGCCCTTACCTTTGGGCCCCAATGCTTTTCTGGGTTTGGCAGAAAGCGAGCTACTTTCTTCGCCTGGGCCTTGCTAAGTGAACCAACGCAGCGCGAGAAGTCCACCTGTAGCAGAGAACGGTTGTTCAGAGATATCAGAATTCAGCACTTTTTAGCAAATCCGAAGATGTATATACTGGAAGTTTTAGACTTTAAAGATATCAAACAAGTGTCACAGAGAGAGAGAGAGAGACCAGATGAGATGGTTCTTTGGACAGAATCATACTTCCAGGAAGATCACATGATTGAGCCTTCACAGGATGATTCTTAACCTACGGTCGAATAAAAAACTCATTCATCAATGGAAAGGATCTCAAAAGCAGGTTCCACAAACGTGATATGTATGTATTAACTCGATATCATCAGTTTGCAGCTAACATCATTCCAGCCAATCGATATTGTGATCACACAAACCATGTATGTGATTAAGTATGCAATAATTCATACTAGGATCTTTCTATGATAAAAAACAGTTTACGCATTTAGATGGAAAAAAAACTAAGGCTCCTTACCCAGCAGCGCATGATATCCCAGATGACATCCATGGGAGCATCTGTCTTAAGCCCAAGTGGGTTCACATGGGTCCCCGAGATTCGAAACTTTGCGTTGATCACTGCTGATCGGAACATTGCAGCTGAAGGTGAAGTGCATTTTAGGGTTGCACAGAGATTGTGCAAGCTCAAGAAGAGAGGAACATCCGGTAATTCCTGCATAGACAGATCCCAAATGGAAACATTAACCTCAATGACTCATCCTCTGCTTAAAATTGATCCAATAAAAAAAAAGAGTGTAATAAAAATCCGGCAAGCTTGCCTCTGAAATTGTTGTCAGGACAGCACAAATCCGGTCACAAGCAGGGTATCGATCTTTCATGGATTTTACACCGTTTAGTATCAAAGTCACCCATTCTTGATTGTGTATGGGAGCAGACCATATCGGTCCACCCATGTTATATTTCTTTCCACAATGGATGCAATCCTGAGGAACAACAGGACCAGTTGCTGGAAGATACCGGATGCTGTTATTCTGCAAACATTACAAAAACAAGAATGAAAATATATCAGAAAGAGGGTAACATCCTCGGATATGAATCTGTTTTCCAATTAATATAAACGCCTAGTAGAAGGTGATTGTTCTATCATCATCACAATTACAGAGGACGTGGAACTTCTACCACATACCTTAGGGAGAGATCTTCCAACAGGCTGAAGATGAAAGGAATCACAACCGGTGCACTGATAAACATATGAGAGCTTGAGTGGAGTGTTTTTCATTGCACTTGCCGAGCTGCATGTCATTACCTTTTGGATTTTAGCAATAAAATATATTAAAATTTAGGACAGGACATTTGTATACCCATAAATGAGTTTAAGTGTTTGAGTCTATGAAGGAAACTAACGTGTAGACGCGGACAAAAACACGAACATAGAAATCCATTTGCACAGATAGGACAGGAACAATATACCGCCTGTAGCGGTTTGCATGGCTCTGCATTAAAAAATTAAAACAGAAATCAGTGCATCAAATAAAGCTTTCAGAGAATATATTGCACAACAGAAGCTGGCAGATAATACAAGTGAAAAAAGAAACAAAAGGTTAATAGAAGAGGAATTTGATGCATGAAAAAGGTCTAGCCAAGTAAATGATATAGCTTAGTCCCGTTTCCTAAATCATGAGAAATATATACAACCAATGAAGATTAAGTGTCAGATATAAACATTGTTTACTTCTCACGAATGTAAAATTTACCTCGATGCTGGCAAGAAGGATCCTCAGAGCCATCTCATGACAGTACTTTCCTCTCAATGGATAAGAACCGTATCTAATTGACAAAGATTAGGATGGTTAACAAAAAAAAATCAAGAAAAGTATGTTTTAAAGGAAGGTGAGATGGGAAATCTCACTTGGAATAGCAGACCTCTCCATTACCGCCGCATAGCACTGCCATATCAGTTGCTGTACACATCAGCAACCCTCCATCAACAACTGACTGGACAGCTGAATCAAGGAAGATAGATGGCGAACCATATGGATCGAGATCAACCTATGAAAACATTGATCAAAATAGTTTAAAAAAAACGATCATGACAATATCAATATGATTGTGATAAAGTAACACAGATGTCTAGCCAAACATTATCAGTCTGATGTCAAAGTTGAAAACAAATACAAGTGTGGATAATAATGTAAACAATGAACCCATACCATATCAAATTCTTTTGGGTGGGTGAGCATGTATACACGAGCATCAGTGTGATGTGACTCCACCTTTGAAGAAGCCATTGAGCCATTGAACTTTATGTTCCTCCGACAAGCTTCAACGGATGCTTTAAAAACGAAAAATGCCAATATGATATCATACATGGATGCCAGGAAATGAGGAAAAAATGGGTACTAATATTCCTTTCCAAGTAAAAAAAATACCTTCATCATTATCTAGGGCCACAACTTGACCAATTCCATCAACTTCACGAGCATATCTCAAAGCCCTTAAACCGGAAGCAGACAATGCCTGAAAATTTAAAATACACACCAAAAAAAAGGAACAAAGTTCATCTAACTATGAAGGCAATGCATTGCAAAACAAGACAACAAAGTGACAGTTATGACTGTCACAAAAGAAAGAACATAGAAGAACCTCAAGCAATCTCGGTGGCTTCAGTTCTCTCCGAGCCGATTCCTCAGTGGCCTTGGAAGGTTCATTTGATGCGCAAGACGGTCCATTTCCAAGTGCCACTTCATGTTCTCCGTTAATTTTCCCATTATTCATATTGTTCTCACTGGGAGCTTCTTCCTTAGCAGCTTCAGAAGCATCTTTCTCAGATACTTTCCCAGCATGTTTATTTCTTTTAGATAACATAGCCTCATGCTCTTGCTTGCGTTTGATTATAAATGCCCTTAGGACAGCAATAGACATGTCCCTGTTGTTGACCTAAACATAAGACACACACAACAAGTAAACAGTTCAGCTCACACTCAGAATCCCAGTAATAGCTAAAAGCAAAACATTAATCTTCCAACCAAAAGGAAAACTTCAGTGGAAATCTTGCAAGAAGCTCTTAGCAAAAATCCAGAAACCACAAGGCAACGCATCAATGGCTGTAGAAAGTAAGGATCAATACCATCTTTGTTGAGCTAGCTTTAGAATGATGAGGAATAATATTCCATTATATATCTAACTTTTGATTTCACATTTGCCACAAGTCGAAACAGTTACAAGAAGAGATTACCAAGTTCCTCTCAGCTGCCAAAGCGGTGACAATGATACAAATTCAGAACAAACCAACCGATAAACACAAAGAAACCAATGAATGAAACATACACACTAACTCCATGGCCCCAATTCCAAGTCTCCTCTCATTAAGAACTAATCAACATATATATACATATATATATATATATATATATATGCATTCATAGCAGTCAATTGTTAGCATGAAAGAATAACACTTGTCATCTAAAATTTATTCCTAATGGCTTCTTTAGGAATCAAACAAAAAACCAATAAAC